TTCAGGGTGCGGTTGGCGGCATGATAGCTTTCATTCACGGCTGGTGGGGCAGTCTTGCTTGGACATTGGAAACAGTTTTCCTGCATGCGTAAAAACCAAGTAAATCATGGGCTGAGTGGTTCCGAGATTGTGGTACGCAGGCCATCTCCTTAAAGTGCGGAGTGTTCGGAGAACTGCTGGTTTGTGGCGTTTGTGGGTTCTCTGGGATTCGGGCTTGGGGCCAGTTCTGCGTAGGGGAACCGAGAAGGTAGGCAGGGACAAAATTGGTCTCAGTTGGGTCCATCCATTGAACCCTGTCAATGCCGTATACCCTGCAAAGCATGAGGGCAGAGTAGCATTTGCTTTTGTTGCAGGCTTGATGCCCAACATAAACGGTAACAGGATGGCAATCATGCAGCTGCTCACTTCCCAGTAAAGTCCCTCAAATTAACAAGGTTCATAAGAAATCCACATGCAGTGAACACCGTTCAGCAGAGGTCTTGGTGTGGGGGCTGCAGGCTTGGCGGCGCTGACTCTCTGCCATGATATATGGTAGTTCCTCAAAATAAGGGGACCCCATTTAGATCCTAATATATTATAGTTCTTATTATGGGGATCCCCAAAAGGGTACCCCTAATTTTGGGAAACCCCCATATCAAGGGAGGGTACGAATTCAGTCTGGCCCGGCCAGTCCAACTGTAGAGGTAAGTATAGTTTTCCTCGGTGTGTTTTGTCCAAGGAAGCGCTTTGCTATCGATGGACCGCCCGAGTACGACCCTGCACCTTCTTCCATGGGCGGCAAGACGGCCGGGAGAAGTTTTGGTCACGGTGCTTGCTGCGTTTCTGCCATGGTGAGCATAGGAGGACAGCAGCAGTATGTACGTAATTCTGACGTAATTCTGCTTAAGCACGGAAAGCAAGAAGAACAGCTTCCCACAGCAATCGTCGTGCATGGAGAGAAGCCGTTGTCATCCTCATCACCACCATCATAGAAGGAATGCGTTGTCTCCCGCATTGACAGGTTGTCATCACCGGCGGAAACACCGGAACCTCGACGCACCAGAGAAGTGTGGAGGGTTTGTTTGGTGCAGCTGGGACGAACCTGAAACACTTGACATGTGATAGAATTCGGGTGGAACATGTGGTGAGTATTTCGAGAAGTGGGTGCCCATTGTATAGCCCGCAACTACGACAACCCTTCCTCCTGGGACATCCACAAAGGGACTCCCAATTGTTGCAAACCTTGTGATATACACTTCCTGAGAAAGCATGGTTCACTTAAGTCTGAGGTCTCGGCAAGGAATCTGCCATACGACTGGCGAAGGCGGCGCGACAGAATTCAGGATCAGGCATTCAACGGACACACGATTGCTTTGGTGAGGAATGGGAATGGATATCACCAAAGCTGAAGGTACCTCATGCCAAGTCGTGCGCAGTCGAGCAATCGTCCAGCCCAACGTAATTAGGAACGAACGGTTGGCTTCACAATAGCCCACCTTCTTGCCGGAGCTCCCCTCCTCGACTAAAGCCTCCATGCCAGGCTTGTGTTTTTGTTCCTTCTATGCTTCATTCTCGTTGCGCCATCACCCAGCCGGACCCAGCCCCACCACCAACACCACCAGCATACTGCCTCCCCAAAACCTTAAGCCAATTTTCATTATGGCGATACGTACAAAACTCATTCTTTTGAGTCCTCAATACTTCAGGCTGGAGCCACGGTTGTGCTCACGGCCCGCAGTGAGGAGAAGGGCCGCAAAGCCCTGGCTGATGTGCGCCTTTGGCCGCGCTTGCTTTGGAAGCCTCCAAAAGAATGTAGCAAGGATAGAAGACCTCGCGGATACGGAGTATGTTATCGCTTCTTGTGCTTTCAATTGGATCTGCTCACAGATAGTTCTGAGCGGTTCAAGGTAATGACAGTATGGTATCAACGGGTGGATTGCGAAGTCCAGGTTTTGATGCTATCATAGTGCCAACGATCAGCATTATTATGAATTGATGAGGGGCGAACGTACATCTGCATAAGGCAAGGAATGATGCAGGGGACGATCCGCAAGTCAGTAACATACAAACAACCTCAGCAACATCAGCCGACTGCAGCGTAGCATTTCGAGCCAATTGTCTTCTAGAACATGTTCAGGCTACTTGGAGTGGCCTTACGAATCCAAGGCAGCGCATTACTTCAATGAGCACGGTAATTAAACCAAATGCCGCAGACAGTGATGGAAGTCAGCATCCTGTAGATACAGCTGCCAATGGCAGATGCTGCCTAAAACAGGTGGACTCACATAATCCTGGCTCTTGCACAGAGTTGCCTCGCAAACAGAAGCCACTACAGATCTATACTCTACACTGGATCCATAAAATGACCAGGAAAGCCGCATCTGGCAATGAGGACGTCCACTTCCTCCAGCGCCTCGGTGCCAGCAGTATCAAGGTATTCTCTTCCAGTGAACTTATGCATCATTACCACTACTGTCCCTTCATGGACTGCAAAGAGTTCCGCAAAAGTAGACTGTAGACCCCAAAACGGAATTCAAATCAAGTGTTTCTGTCTCGCGTCACGACAGCTGAAGAATTGTGGGATTCCCAGCTGCCCGCATCAGTCAGGCTGGACCTGGCGGACTTAGAGAACGTAAAGTCCTTCAAAGACCGTTTCGCCAAGGAGAAGTACGGTGGGAGCCCTACAGTTACTAAGTTACAGCGCTGATCCTAAAGTGGATGTTTACTTCTGGGGTGAAAAGTGGTTTCTCCTTGGTTTTGTTATTTTCTTTTGAAAATCAAGGGTCTATTTTGCCACCAGCTATGCATACGTATTTGGGATTTGTTTCGAACATGACGTGGGCTACTGTCAACATGGTTATCCGTTTTTGGGACCTCGCGCGCGTGCAACCCACAGGTTAGTGCGCACAGTGCACGAGGGACCTGTTTGCTTCTGAGAGTCCAAAAGTGGTGATATTCCTTGGATTCTGATATGATTTTGTTCAAAGTCCAGGGTTGTATCACCGGGATGAAATCTGCACGAAATCCAAGGAACTGACGAATCCCCCCCTCCCCCTTATGCAAATCGCTGAAAGAAACATGAAGCAACCTTTCGCCAACTAAACAGCTTGGAGCCCGTGATAGGTTCGCTGACATTCTTGCTCCATAGCGGAGGCCCATGTTGTTCGGTCGTTGCTGGAAATGAAAGAGTACACGCAAAGGCAAGAAGATCGACGTGCTCATGAACAATGCAGGCGTCATGGCTATCCCAGAGAGAAAGGACCGGCTTGGGTTCTGCCCAGCCTTGGTTCGTGCATTTTCTTAATCTTATCACAGAGTTGATGCATTATTTCCAAGTCGGTATTTTGACTCTATCATTTCCGCTCTTCCTTGCGCTAGTGCTGTTCTAGACATTGTATGCTTTGCACCTGGTTGCCTGGTATGCTGCCTCAAGGGTTGACTGCATGGGCACTGGCCTGAGGCAAAGCCATGTGAGAGAGCCATACTAAGCATTCCCAAAATTCGCCGTGAGATTGCAGCTCTGAGAGCAGGAGACAAAGAATGGGTTCGAGCAGCAGTTTGGTGTCAACCACCTGGGACACTTCGCAGCTTGTCTGGGTCGCCAGCTGCAGTGGCACTTGGCCGGAGGGGCTTTTCAGAGTTGATGTTCAGGCTGCAGTTGCCAGGACCCCTTGAATTGGACCTGGACCTTCTGTGAATTCATCAGGATTTGATGTGCTTGCTCATGGGTACGACCCTGCTGCAGCCTAGTGTTTCATGCTTTCTTGCGACTGTACCAGTTGAAAGCGCTTAGCAGTAGCAACCGTCCTGCCTGTAGGCCCAACACGCATCACTACATGCAACATGCTTGGAAGTTTTTGCTAGCAATTGGCAAGCAGAGTCCCTGCTAGCTACTTACCTTAGATGTACCCCGAAAAAACAGAACAAGCTTTTCTCTGCCGCATCATTGAGGACTTCACCCTAGCATTGACAATATGAGCAATCACGAACACCTTCGTTGCCAGCACCAAGCATCTCATGATTCTAACAGGCATAGTGTACAAGCTTGGGATTGATCGCCCAACTCATTTTTGCCATGGCTACTGCCGCACACATCAAGGTGGGCTGCAACATCGCACAGGTAACCAGAGACGGGCTATTGGCTTATACGGGTCAGGGCGTTTACAGGAGAAGTTGAGTAAGTGCCGCGATTGACGTGTCAGAAGAACCTGCATAAAAGGTCCTTATACTTGCTGCATGGCGAGACACTGTCCCAAGTCTCAAACCTAGCAAACACAGCTTGGAGACTTCCACCTGGATATCCAAGCTGAGCTGTTTGCCGAGCTTCAATCCAATCTTGCAAGACGCCTTTCGCCCAGTATGTAGGTCAAAGAATTGTGAGTATACTCTTCCATAATAATCCTGAAAGAGCCAAGTCAAAGATCAAAGCGCATCTCCTTCTCTAGTGGAGGTTGAGCCTGTCTTGGCCCGTCCTTGGGTGCTTCTGCGGAATGCATCTCGGACTTTGGTTCCAAACCACATCAGGAGGAGCATGCTGCTTGTACAGGTGATGGGGAATGATGCAATCTTTTTCGTGGTAATGATAGCACGAGCAAGAGCAAAAATGAAATCAACTGAAGGCAGTGACTAATTTTCAGATTTCTCCAACTCCCAAATCACTTCAAGCGGCCTGTCATTTCCCAGGCTATGGACACAGCTCACATGCCATCTTGGCTACAACGGAACCATCTCCAGTTCACAGAGAAACTCTTCAGCAAAGGCACGGAGGGTGGACTTGCCTGACATGATCTCACATGTAGTTACTGTAGTCTGAGCTCCTTAAAGCTGGATTATATAGGGGAGTACTATAGAGGTTATTAAGGGGATACTAGGAGTTTAAACTATGGCTCATATGCGGCGTGAGGAAGGTGTAAACTCACGCTTACATAAGCTGAATACGTCGCAGACGGACGTCAAAATCTCGTCGGGCCCATGCAGGTATTCATGGAAGTCCTGTCCTTGTGGCGCAGACGCTCTACAAGATGAAGGGGTGCCTCACCAAACTGAAATCAAGAGGTCAGTCTCTTTGCTAGGCCAGCTAGTGGGTGGCTTTCCCTGTCGTGCAAGTGACTTGGAGAAGTAAGATTCAAGCCACCGAGGCACACACCTCATGTTGCTTTCGTTGGAAGGTCCAACGTTGGCAAGTCCACATTGTTGAAGCTGGCTGCAAAGACAGGTTGCATGCAAGTTTGCACGTGGTGGCTGAAATGGACATTCGCAAGGGCAACTTTGTCAGCTTGGAAGTTCAGGTTTTCATTGCCCGAAGCTCACTGACTCGAGGAACATGCTGCTACATCGGAGACCTTCTCCTGTCCCCGAGCACATCAGTAACAGCCGAGCACCCAGTGCAAGCGAATTCGTCCAGCTCCACCATCGCGTCCACTTCAAGTATTTTGTGGGTTCGTAAGCTAGTAAGACTGGCTCGGGAAGGCAAGAAGCTTCACCTGCCAACCGCAGCACCTGTGTCGCACACGCCCGGAAGGATGAGAGTGGTGCTTGCTTCAGGTCATACTTCGCCGGGAAGGGATGCAAGAGAGACAGAGCGAATTAGTGGAGCGATTGCCTGGTGCATTGACGAGGACGCGGCATTTGTTCCGGTTTGAGCTGGGCAACACAATGACGTTGGTGGACCTACCAGGCTACGGGCATGCAGCGAAGACTCCGAAGGAGGCCAGGCTGGGTACTGTAGCGCTGAGCATCCTTGCAGCTGCATCATGGCTGCGAAGCATTCTTGTGTGAAACGTTCCTGTAACAGTGATTGTCATGAAGGTTAAGGAAAGCTGGAGGGAACTGGTCGATGGATATTTGTGCCTGGGCTGCAGTGCCAAGGAGTTCTTCCAAACTCAAATGCTAGCATGTGATGTTTACCCCAGTGAGTTTTTTCTCCTGTATATGTTGAATGGACTCTTAGTGAAGGGGATGCCTACAGGACCAACGCCGATCAGCTTCGCCTCGTCGTATCCCTGGTGGATGGCAGGGTTGGTGTCAAGCGGTCGGATGACTCTCGGAGCAATGTGGTCCTTTCGCAGCAGGCAAAGGTTTACGTACATGACGGCTAGGGCTAGCAGCTCGGGTTTGTTTGCTGAGCCTGCCACGCTTACCTTCGGATGCCTAAGATGGGCAGTAATGAAATGACTGCTGTTATCAGTACTGGTTGCCGTTTTCCTTTCCCAGAATTGCTATTATTCTTTGACTTCTGCCTGCTGGTATCTTGCGTGACCGCTATTAGCATTCCCAACTCCTTCGAATTCAGGAGGAGCTTTGGGAGCTCCTTGAAGAGCGAGAAAGGCAGCTCATGGTGGTGCTTACCAAGGCAGGGAGGGAGGGGGTAGGGGGAGGGGGTTGGGTGGGAAACGAGAACATGAAATCAATACAGTGGAGATATTACTGCCGTGAAGTACATTAAGTAACAGCAGGCAGTATCATGACAAGCAATACTGGCGATCGCAACAAGATGCGAAACAAGTATGATTCATGATCAACGCCAAAAACTGGCTCGAAGAGCCGCTACATTTGAAATGTACATAGGAGCGCAACGCAGCGGCAGAACGAGCCAGTCCAAACACACGAATTTGCGTGGAGGTTGACCAATGCTCTCCGGAAGTGCTCAACAGGACCATGGCGCACGTGGTGTGCCTGGGCTTCATTCGCGGCAGGGTCTTAGGAAGACAGCTGGAAGTGGCGGATAGATTTCTGCCAGCCCCGCTTAGCAAAAGCTCATAACTTGACAAATCCCCGCAAACGGCTATTTGTTTTCCTGACAGGTCCTTGCTGGAGATGAAGTCGCTGGGGCGGCAAGAGTTTGTGAAATTAGGTGAAGTCTCGCGAGGAGAGAGCCTTTGATAGGAAGCTTGGCTGAGGAAGGCGACCTACATTTGGCCTTACGTGCACGCAGTCAGTGGCCTCTACGGTCATGGCGTGGACGAGCTAAGGGCATCTGTTAGCTTGGTAGCTGCTGACTACGTCGCGCGAAAGCAGGCCAAAAAGGACGACATGCTTGTGCAAGTCACTCGATGCTTGGTTTTTGCGTAGGAGTGCAAGTGCAGACTAGGGGTGCTGTTGAGGAAAAGGGGTTCGCCGTGCTGGTGGCGCAGAGCTTTCACCTATGTGATGGTTTCCCAAAACGAGGGCTACCCTTTTGGGGTTCCTCATAAAAGGGATCACAGTATCTTAGTGGTCTACATTGGGGTCCCCCTATCTCTGCAAGCTACTGTTTCTTGAGACGCCTTGGGCAGCTGAGGCATTGACTGGCGTGCTTCTGCCTCTACTGGAGAAGGCAACGCCTGCAGTCAGAGCTGAAACTGATTTGATGCCTGAGCGTTGTGCAAGGCCTTCTTGTGATTGGGCCACCTGTTACGTGGAGCGGCCTTCTTCTGCAGTTGAATAAGAAAGGATAGGCTATGCATACGGCAGAATGTCATGCGGGACGACTCCGAAATGCTGATCTTGCATACCCTGGCGTACGGTTAGCTGGGAATGAAGGAAGGGAACATTGAAACTCGTATATTGGGCTAAATAGGGACTACTGAAATATCTTTTCTTTCGTTCCCAGCTAACCAAAGGCCAGTGCCTGGGCAGGCACAGGATGGAGCACGGGTTATTGCTGTGTCGAGCACAGCACACCTTGGTGCCAACAAGGACCTCATGACAGGAGAAGCCTGGGTCTTTGAGGGGAAGATGGGAGGTGGCATGACAATCTCTTGAACAAGCTGGGTTGCCGTTAAGGAACTTAAGCTAAGTCACTAGAATAAGGAAACCTTATGGTGTAGTTCATATACATACTCACATATCTCACATCATGCTAATTTAGTTTAAGTGGATTAACAGCAACCCAGGAAAGAGCATGCCGAAGTGTATGCAAAGGCCGTTTTCAGATGCGCTGGCCAAGTAAACTCTATATTATATGTCGTATGCATGAGCTTACGGTTTGGTTCTTCGCCCAGCGGTGTCTACGTATTGAATCCTGGATTTTTGGCCTTGCTATTCGACGGCAAACCTCCAGGAGACCTCATGGCTCTTGAGCGGTACACTCAGTGGGGCGCTGTGCTTAGATGGTCACTATGGTTCGTGGTCGTTTGCTTCCCTCGAACTTGTCGCAGCAACATAAACACCCACCCACATGCCTCATAGCCGGGCTCTTCCGTAGGGCGGAGTGAAGTTAGCTTGATGTGGCTTTGCCAAGTGTGATGTCAAAAAAAGGTTCTTGCGCACGTATAAAGGCACGTCAAAACGAGAGCAAGCTCAGACTGTGTAATCATCAGGATTGAGAAGAATGCAAACAAGGTTGCGGACATGAGAGAAGGACAGCGTCGTTCATGAGCACCTGTCGCCATTCCACCTTGCACTTGATTTGTGAACCAGTCTGTAGTCTCATTCATTCCAGCAGCTTCTGGCACAGAAAAGAACCGGGGAGGGCAAAGGCAAGGGCTCTCCAGAGCAAAGAATAATCATTCCCAAAACCAGAACTTTCCAAGTATCCTGCGTTAGGACCTGGGCAAGAACAAGATAATGATCTGTGCTGCTTGAGATTAAAGCCCAACACACAGCAGAAGCTACCTCCTGAAGTTTCTAGGCCCTAGGCTTATGCTGTAGCCATGGCTGCTACACTTGTTGCTGCTTCTCACGCGGGCACCCAGCTCCAGAATGTGGTCAGGCTTGCTGTGACAACATCATTGGCCTGCCAAGGTGATCCAAAGTGGAAGTGTGTTCCGCAGGGGAGAAACTTGGTTCCCGGAGACCAAGGAGAGAACCTCATTGATCCACCATTCTGGCAGCATTTCGTTCTGGGACATTTCGCAGGTGATCAGCAGGAGGCGTCCTGTTCTTTGGACGACGCAGGTCATTGTAGACATAGCAGCCTGGCACACACAGCTGCAGTGACCAAGAGGGCGTTTATGCTTGATGGTGGCTATACCTTGAACAAGTGAACGAGCCAATTCGATCATGGGGTATCTCTGCAGTGACGGCAGCTCAATGCATGTCTCCAGTGCCAAAGCCTTCAACCAGCCGATCGGCTGATTGAAGGCCTTTGGCACTGGAGACATGCATTGA